ATTGTTGTCAGTGGTGGATCCAGGAAAGATGTGTATAAGAGACAGGTATGTTCCGGATTATAGAGTTCAACAGCATAAGTAAAAAAATGAAATACAAAGTTGACGTTTAACGAAACATATAACTGTTATTGATCATGAATATTTCGGTCGCACCTGCAACCTTTCTCAACCTGTGATCTAAATCTTTATTTATACTATATGCTATATTTATTATTAGTCGTACCTATTGTGTAAAGGAGTGTATCTGACGTTATTTGAATCCGTTCAACCACTCTCTGGCCTATTGGTTATGACACAAGTATCTTATTGATAAAAAATTTGAATGGTGTCAAAGCCCAACATATTGGTTAATCAGTTATAAATTCCTTGTTCAAAATTAACCCGACACATATCTGGCACACAGAGAAGTTGAATGCACCATTGAAGTACAATGAACTGCGGGCAAACTTGAAATATGAAACATGAATATTGAAACTTTCAACAAATTGTTCCTTTCATATTTCTTGTGTAAAATACTTGCTGTCAAACCGGGGCACTTCGAATTAGTCAATCAACCTCCCACGGCTCAGTGCACCTCTAACTTAGATGACCAACATTTTGAATGTCACAGCGATTTTGTATATTAGCCTACTATTTTAGCACTCTGCGAACGAATTTCCTAAACGAGGGTGGAGATTTCAAGGAGCTTACTGGGTCATGGGCCAAAAAGCTTCCGAGTTCGCTCTGCAATAAAATACTACACGGTACTGCAGGGCGTATTCATGCATTCATTTCTTTATTTCAGATACAAATATCTATATAATTAAAAATAAAGAATAAATAAAACAAAAAATAAAGAATAAATAAAGCGAGGAGGTAAAATGTATACTGTATATTCTGCAAAATTAAAATTAAAAGTAAAAATAAAATAGTTTACACCATCGCTGATGAAGGTATGAGTGTGGAAGAGTATACTCAACAATAGTATATGCACATTAGCCCTATAAACCATGCTTTCTATGTCACCTTCTAGTTCCGTTACCTCTAGGTCAACAACGAATTACAAGAAGGTGTATTTTAATACAATCACAATGTTCTGAAATCACACAATGCGTATAATTACAAGTTATACTACCATTCGACCTCAGTGTTGTAATATCTCTACCCCATGATGCATAGTTACTATTGTATTGTATATATTTAGTGGGGGAGGGGGTGGAGGGGGTGTGGCCATTTTAAAAGGCCCAGTATGCGAGCAAAACGAGCATCTAGGCTGAGGACAGGGGCCGCCAAGGGTCCCGGTGGGGTCCAGGGGGATTCTCCCTCTGGAAGCTATGGATATTTGATGAAGTTTGGTAAATTTCATTACTTATTTTATAGGCATCAATCTACTGTAATATGACCTGATAATTGTTGTCAGTGGTGGATCCAGGAATTTCAAATAGAGGGGGCCGGGGGATAATTTCACAGATGGAGAATCTACAGTACCTCAGCCCCACCATGGTATGGGCTGAGGTAAGAAAATTTGTGATTATGGCACCACTAGATGACCGAAAAATTGCACTTCCAGACATAAAATTTGAATATAATTTTCTTTACATTTCCATTTTTTATTTAATTGAACAATTTGGGGGTGGGGTTGGCCTGCTGGGCTCCCTTGAATCGCCACTGGGTACTTTCACAGATGGAGGATCTATACCACCTCAGCCCCATCATGGTTGGGGCTGAAGTAATTAAATTTGTGAGTATGGCACCTCCAGATGGCCGGAAATTGCACTCTCAGAATCATTCAATTTAGCCACCCCCACCCCATTGAATCTACCTCTGATTTCCTTGATATGGACCGCATTTCCCCCGATGGATAAAAAATACCCTTCCATAGTAGTCCGAAAATGATACTACAACTTTGGCTGGTCCAGGAAGTCGAAATAGAGGGGACCCAGGGAGGGTCTTGCACAAATGGAATGTCTACCCACCTCAGCCCCACAACTGTTGAGGCTGAGGTGAAAGAAATTTTGATTATGGCACCTCTAGATGGCCGGAAATGGCACTCTCAGATTAAAAGTTTTTTGTCTGTTTTGTCTGTTTTCTCCATTTAGGAGGTTGGGGCCCATACTGGACGGGCTCCCCTTTGAATCCGCCACTGTTCATTATAACACTTGACATAGTCTATTATTTTGTCTCCAAATGACTAATTCCTAATGTCAAGCGAAAGATTCTTTTATTCGAAAGAATTTTTTTATTTAATACAGTTTTTGCAACCTTTTTACAATTACAGTGTACTGTTAATTCTGTAGTTAACTTTCAGGGAACTTTATTTTAAAAAATGGCCTAATTAATTATCTTATTATTTTAGTTAAATTAAATGGAGTTTAAATGTGGTTATATTACGCTAGTTTGAAGGTTTTCTGTGAGCCAATCATTTACACTTACATCTTCATGGTTAGCATAAAGAAAAATAGAGCGTTACGCTATAAAGGGTGCCTACCTCCACCCTATGCCTAAATAAAGAATTCATGAATGCGGGCGATTCCTTTCTTTTTTCTCGAGCGTGGTTTTCAAGGAAACTTTACAGACGCGCGTAAACAGACGTCAATCAACATTTGGTTGCACAACTTAAAAAGGGAAAATCTTTATTTTATAATAATAACAATAATAGGTCAATTTATAAGGGGCAAATAAACAAGGTCTCTAAGCACCAAATAATACTAATAATAATAATAGTCCTAATGATAATAATAATAATACTATTATTATTATTATTATTATTATTATTATTATTAATAATAATAATATTAATAATAATAATAATAATAATAATAATAATATTAATAATGACATTGCAGCGTTCGTAAAATGTTTGTCACTGGTGCTGGTAACAATCACAAAAGGTGGGGGCCAGGCTTCCGCCGCCGTCGGTTGACAATTGACGTAACATGATATTTTATTCTCACGAATTTTTCTTTTGCAAACTCGCATGTGCGACCGAGATATTTTATGATACATATTAAATATTATGTTCTGCTAAACGTCAACTAGGGTACCAGAGGTCACCGATGTTCTTTCTCGTATATATACATATATATGCCTATGTATACTCATATACAGGCAAAATGCGCCAATATAGTATGCTTTCTGTGTATTGGCGTAGTGTCGCATTCTATAACGATAGCTCGGTTCTACAAAGTGCTACAAATTGTTGCGAAAATGCGAAAAATGGTGCGAAAATGGGCCTTCACACAGGAAGGAGAGTTTATCCAGTGTTGTGAACGCTTTAAATAAACTTACTTTGATTAGATTATGCGCAGTGGCGTAAAAATGTTCTGAGGGGTCCTGGTTCGAGACTCGTCGGGGGATTTGTCGTATATAAATTAGCAATTATTACGGTACTCTTTTGCTGAAGTAATCCATACTAAAAACCATCCCCTGCTAAACATCATTCCAGACCCGTACATATTTATGACAGTGAAAATTGTACAATTTATTTTTTTTTATTACTGAAGTAATCCATAGCAGCCCACCCCACCCACCCCACTGGGTATCATCCTGTATTTCTTAGTCTAGGGGCAGAAATATTGGTAAACAATGTATTATTCTATGCTGTATGCATCGTAGTTTTACTAAAACAATATACGGTATAGTAAAACTATCTGTTCCCGGTATTTGAGGGTTGGAATAATGATTACTAAAATGTAAAATGTACCGGTACAAAACTCTGATCATTTTAAAGAGAAAAAAAAACCTCAACAGGCCATATATTTAGAGTTTGGGTTGATAAAAATATATAAACACTGTCATGTATATGTGACCCACTCTGCAACAAATTCTTGTCTCAAAATGAGATTATTATATCTTTGAAATCAAATTTAGAGGTCAACAACTAATAATTAATGCAAAAATTGTTGAAAACGGATAACAAATGATGAAGAATTGAGATTTTCAGGCGCCTGATTTGCCAGAGTCGTCACATAGGGCCTATTCTTCAGTAGAGTAGCACCCCGCCCCACCCCCCTTGGTGTAAATTATTACTGTTTTTATTATTATTATTAATATTATTATTGTTAATATTATTATTATTATTATCATTATTATTATTATCATTATTATGATTACTTTTATTATTTCTTTAATATTATTATTATTATTATTATTATTATTATTATTATTATTATTTCTTATGATTTAGATTGGCTTTCCCTATGTAAAGTAATTTATTTTTAATACACTTTTACTATTGTAAAGGGTGTTAAACTTGACAATCTTTTTTTAACCTCCTATCCATCTGTACTTGCTTAACTCATTTTGTATTCGCATTTGGAATTTGGCAATAAAAGTAAAATGAATGAATGAATAAATTATTTTGTATCTTTTGAAATACGGAAAATTAGGAATAAGACGGTCTGGTACTAATTTAATTAAACTTAGCTTGCCGAATTCAGCTTGAGGAATTAATAACTTGATATATTATCACTTGCATTGTACCATGTTTTAATAACATTAATTCTCATGTGTTTGCTTTTGGTAGGTCGTTAGCGATTACCGTATAGCGGCCTAGAATTTTTAATCATTTAGTCAATTATTGATTTATTACGGGCAGAGAGACGACAGTGTGATAAATGTATCAACATAATCAAGGGCCGATCCAACTTATGAGAATGAGCTTGATTTTGGCTGGTATCAAAGGGCCGCAAATGGCCAGTAGCGGCGCCAGCGTCTGAAATCTGGGGGAGGGGGAAAGTGAGGGATAAGGTAAAAGTTTAGGGAAGAAATATTCTGGGGTGGCCTGCGAGGTGGGCGTGGTCGGGCATCGTTCAAAATGTCTCGAAAGTGGTCTAAGGGGCGAAGACCCCGAAAAATATGACAATTTAGAGGTTTCGGAGTCTCGATTTTATAATGTATATAGTCTATAGAAAATACATAACAGTTTTTCTTCTCTTTTTTAGGGGGGGGAGAGACAATTTTCTGGGGGAAATTACCCCGTGCCCCCGTGGCACCGCCACTGAAAATGGCTACCGGTAGTGTGCAGTGGCAAAAGCTTCGGCAAAACACATTCGTAAATTCAATGTTATCAGCGAAAACAGAAAGAAAATTTACTGGTTTATAAACGATATTTTTTGGCAAAATTTATTTGACCTGACTGGCCTGAAGATGGGAAATTGCATACAACTTGAGTTCGTGGAACTCACCTGACGATTCTCTCTGGGAATTTTCATCCTTTACGATGATATTTATTTGTGTGACTAATTTTTTGACCATTAGGATAGGACAATGTTTAAATGAAATTTTTAACCACTTTAAATTATACTGTAATAGACCGATTTTCAAATAAGATTTTATTTACGTTAATTTACAATCTAGTCCTATGCATTGTTTTTATATATATTATTTTATTTCTTTATGGAAGAGGGCCTCTGACTTCGAGGCCCTGAACGCCCCTGCTCATCGAACCATCTGAACGGCCGGCAGTTACGCTACTTATGCATTATTGATCGAGTTCCTAGTCCACATATCAAGCGCCATGAGCATCTTACATTAGATGGATATGTGCGCTATATAAAACTACACTATTATTATTATTATTATTATTATCTCTATTTAACATAATTATAATAGAGTAATCTATAAAAGATTTTGGTATCTGTTGTAGGGTCATAAGCATACAAATAAGAAAAGAATATTATTTCTAAAGATGACTAAATAAATATTAGAAATATTGAATCCCAATAGACTTATTCACGTAATACCGTACAAGATTATAGAATCAAATTATTAATTTAATGTCAATATCATAAGTAAGCCTAATCATACTTTAATAGCATATCGCGAAGATGCACAATCGGTATTGACATGTTGGTGAAATATATTACTGATAATAATATTACAGACCTAGCCATATATATTTAGATTATACTACGTATTAAATGTTGGTAGTTTGTTCAATGTATTCGAGTATACATCTATTCAAACTATACTATATCCAAGCACTATCAATACTATCAAAGATGCTATAATACCTAATTACATTCAAATAAGATAGCACAACCTGAACTACACATCAATAACCTTACATCTGTGGTACAGTATAGAGCAATCAAAATACTATATTATTTTCTGTAATTCTTAGAATGCTAACTGATGGTTTATGTTACATGTCGTACATAATAGTATATAATGCACATAAACGTTATAACTTTAAAATAATGTATCTGCTATACGCCTGAAATAGAGTTAGAACATTCAGGATTTAACTCATTCTTATTTCAGGTCACAATGGCTGCAACGTCTTTGAACTTTTTCATAGATCTACTTCGACCTAAAAAGAGAACATACAAATATAGTCTAGACGAAGAATATGACTATATAGTGATCGGAGCAGGCAGCGCAGGGTGTGTTCTAGCTAACAGGTTAAGCGCTAACTGTGGCACAAAGGTCCTTCTTTTGGAAGCTGGGGGTGAGGATACAAAATCTGAGATAAATATACCACTGGCCCCAGCCTACCTTCAACGGACTGAAGTTGATTGGAACTTTGAGGTAAACAAACCTCGTTATTTTTCAAATTAATTGTGTGTATCATACAAACTGTATTTTCCTTTCATTTTCAAAATTAACTCGCAAAATAGACCAAATTGGTGTTCAGTGTTATTACAGTATTTGATTTACGCCATAGGTCTATCTAGCTAGTTTATAGGCCTAAATTAACCGTAATATCATTATGTTACATTTTGTGAATTTCTATATTGATTTTCAATCGCGTGTTACTGACTATTGCCCACTAAGGACATGGAGAGTAGTGATTATTTTTATAACAACAACAATAATAACTAGAGATACTATGTTCAATAGAACATGAACCCAGTCATTTTTTAACTGTGACCTTTAACCTCAACCTGTGAACACCCCATGTTCTGATGCAACTGGTCCAATCGTTAGTCACTAGCAATATTTGATAATTTTCACTATAGTGACCCTTGTGAATTTTTACCTATAGATGAAGAGTAGTTTTTCATATTTAGAAGGCCCTAATGATCATTCCTGGTAAATTCGAGCTCAGTTGGGCTATTTTGAAAATTTGACCCCGATGAACCCTATGACAGACAGGGGTGTAGGAGGTGTCACTGGTTCTTAATGATGAACTTTGATTGAATTTGGTTTATTCATTTGCCATTAATAACATTTTGAACCTTTGACCTATGAACTTTGACATATGGGGTGAAGAGTGTTTTTTTTTTTGTGTTTAGAAGGTCCTAGGGATCATTCCTGGTAAATTTGAGCTCAATTGGGCTATTTTGAAAATTTACCCTGATCCCAGACTGGGGTGTTGGAGGTGTCACCGGTTCTTAATGACGAAATTTGATTGAATTTATTCCAATGGTTTGCCATTAGTAGCATTTTTAAGTGTTACTATAGAGAACAAAAGAATAACCCTTTAATGACCTTTATGCCAATACATATGTGCCCAGGACAAGACTGTGCTATGTTATTTGTGACAGAAGTCTTTTATTTATTTTTTTGAAAGTTTTTACCCTAATGACCCCTAGTGACCTTTGACCTCAAGCAGTGAACACCCCATGTATGATATGTGTCACCGATTATACTGACCAGGTTTGGTTAAAATCGGCACAACCGTTTGGCATTAGCAGCGTTTTGAAAGGAAGTGTTTTGAAAGAAAGAAAGAAAGAAAGAAAGAAAGAAAGAAAGAAAGAAAGAAAGAAAGAAAGAAAGAAAGAAAGACAAAAAGAAAGACAAAAAGAAAGAGCAAGCGAGCTAGGAAACAGAACAAGGTCAGCATGCTGCTGACTGGGTAAAGAAGGAAGAAACTGCTAAGAAACAGAACCCAGTTTTTTTGGGGTTTTTTTCAAACAGGCATAGTAAGTCTACTTTTACTTTATACCTGTTAAAGACATTTTTGTTGCAATTTTAAATTCATTTCTCATTATAGCAAGGAGGAAAAGCCCAATGTGCTGTTGTACAAACAGACATAGTAAATCTACTTATTATTAGTATTATTAATAATATTATTGATTGGTGAATAATTTTTTTTTAATCCACAGAAAATAAGGTAAGCCCAGTAGACATAATACGAATTATTAAAAAGATCATCATAAGGTTATTCCAAGCATGATGTAATTATTATTTTAACCATCAGATCGAAAGTCAAGAACATGCTTGCAAAGCCCAAAAAGGCCAAAAATGTAACTGGCCCCGAGGAAAGGTAACCATAACATTCCATTGTATTTTAAACTATTCAGGTTATTGAACACTGTTTATATGTTGCTTTGAATATTAACATGAAAATAATGTTATTAATGTATTTCTTTGGGACTGGTACCATCATTAAAAACAAAATGTACACCGTCTACAAATACAAACGCTAACGACTTTTGTGTACTTATGAACTTTTGTGGTGAAGAAAACTTTTAAACACAATACACAAGTTATTTAATAATCTCATTTAAAAGAACTAAGTAAAGTTTCAATCAGACACGGGTGAAAAATAGTCTGTTTTTACTAAATGATGTACAGTTGACTACAAAAAAAAACTTATTACCTGACACGGTAGATGTCTTACCAGTGAGTTGTCATGCTAAAGTTTAGACAGTGTATAGTAAGAAACCCATAGGTGGCAGGTCAGAAGATGGTGCCGGTGAATAACAATATCTAACAGAGTTCGATCGTTTATTCCTCTATTGGATGACCAAAATGTCAACTGCTGCAATTGAACATTTATAACATATTTTAGTTTGACCATAGAGCAGATGGTTTGACTGCGCTCTGTGCAGGGCTATGTTAATTTCAAATTGCGTTCAAATAGTCTGATACGAAGCGAAGGGAGGTTGCTTAAATATGTAAGTCGCTCTTTAATTTATGTTTATAATTATGATTGATATCAGACAGGCCTAGAAAGGTCGCTGAGTTTAGGTTTATTGTTTACTTCTGGTTCTGTTTCTGGTGAGTAAAGCCGACCTCCCAAGGACTCCGAAAGTGTAGGAGTATAACAGGAGGGGTATAAATAGTGTCGATTGATAGGAAAGGTCCACCACCGCAGTTTAAGACACGCAGCGTCGGTCACTTCCTTTTTTTTTCCATTACGTTAGTGTTAGGCGCAGCATCATTGTCATCATCATCATTATTAATACTATCATTATTATTATTAACTTTTCTGTAGAGCCATAATTACGTATTTAACGTGATTTGATAATAAATAACATTGCAAAGTTGTATTAACGTCATGTTCTGACATACCAACAACCATAAGTGTTGACTGGATTAAAATTTCTAACAGGTGTTAGGAGGGTCGAGTAGCATTAACTATATGGCGTACATCCGAGGATGCCCTGTAGACTTTGACAGGTGGGCTGAAATGGGAGCTGAAAACTGGGCTTGGAAAGACGTACTACCTTGTTTTGAGGCGGTGGAGAATAATCAGAGGTTAGACAACATACAAAAGAAACGCATAACGCAAATCAAACTACAGTTAGGCTAATATAAAAACTTGCTCACATAACTATTGATTATGATGATGATGATGATGATGAATGATGGGGATGAGGATGATGATGAATGATAATGATGATGATGACGATGATAATGACGTTGATGATAGTCCTCGATAATTATGATGATGATGACGCTGATAATGATAATAATGAGAGGATGATATAATACAAATAATTATAAGAATGGTATATATTTTAAACAGCACATTCTGTGCATATAAAAAATATTTTCTTTTAATCTCTCCGTACTATTATTAAGTTATTATTAATAATAATAATAATAATAATAATAATAATAATAATAATAATAGGCCTAATAATAATAATAATAATAATAATAAGATTTATGAATCTGCAATATTATTGTTTGGATGGGACTATGAGCTGATTATTAGTAATATTTGACCTAAGTCTTCCAAATTGGAAAGTCATCGGATTAAACTGTCGACGAAAGCTGTGAAATTACCTTTCAATTTACAATAGTTTGCCTCTAATTTATTACCATGTTAATTTTTGTTCTCAATATAACACAATAAATTATCCTATGAATATTTGGTTTATGTTTCGATTTATAGTGAACCTGGATTGTCTGTTACTCAGCAACGCTACAAGACACCAATGTCACAAGCCTTCATCAACGCAGGTAAGTTAAGAACTTGTTACTTTTCAATGGGATGGTAGGCCCACATTGGGGAGTGGGTGAAGATCTTTCCAGGCGATCGACTTTTACTGCTACTTCATTTACGCCAAATCAAATTAAATGCTAGTTTCTCGTTCCCAACGTCATACAATTTTGGAGGCTCATGAATAAATTTACAGTTTTCCATGGAAAATAAAAATAATGTAATCATGTGTGTTAATATTAAAAACATAAAGGAGATTAAGTACATGTTTTGAACATTGTACAAGATTAAAATAAGCTTTTAAGGAAAGTTACACACAATAGGCCTATTATAAAACTGGAATTTGTAATCAACGCAAACAAATGATCACTTGTAAATAAAACATGGTTCAATATTAGTAGAGATACAATTACATAATATGCCTATTTAAGAGTTAAGAGACATAAACTAGAATAAAGAACTAACACCTGTTTGGAAAATAAAAAGTGTTATTAGAAGAATAAATATAATGCTAAATGTGTTTGAAGTGACCAACTAAAGTCTATGCTAAACGCAGTATTTATTTTTTTTTATTTATTCTACTCAGTCCTTTCAAAAATTACGGGATATAACCCAGTGGAAACATGGACATATGCAAATGACTATTTTCTAAATAATATGAGGATGAATCCAAGCAACTGCTGAAGAATAATATTGGTGCAGCTTTAAGCATTCATTGTTCGACAGAAAATCTTATAAAATTACAATCAGTCCAAACAATTAATGCTTCAGAAGTAATGCGTCTACAACAGATGTCGTCTTCGTCTTCAAAAAATTTGGAAAGTCTACAAGTTTTTCACTTCCTGGACCGGATTGACAGGATATAATATTTAATGATTGACTCTTTGGAAATGCTGGTAATCGTAACACTCGAATGCATTAAATGTCAACGGGGGTCACCTTACAACGCCATAATTAGATCCTAAAGTGTGTGTTTTCTTTATTTATTTATTGATTCATTTTTTTTAATATATAAAAATTGTATATTTTAATGTTGACCGTTTTCAAAACCTAGTACTTTACCAACGCATGTTAATCAACGACAGGATATAATATTTAATGATTGACTCTTTGGAAATGCTGTTAACGGAACACTCGAATGCATTAAATGTCAACGGGGGTCAACTTACAACGCCATAATTAGATCCTAAAGTGTGTGTTTTCTTTATTTATTTATTTTTTTTTTTAAATAAAAATGGTATAATGTTGACCGTTTTCAAAACTCAGTACATTACCAACGCATGTTAATCAACGAATTATTTAATTTCCGCCATTTTCTAGCGTGCCCTTGCGTGACTGTTGACTGACATTGATAAGCGATATCATATTATATCATCAGTCGTCAACATTTGAACTACAGTACCCTTTTTATAACACTCACGAGAAAACCTAAATATGCCAAACGCCCTCGGCTATGACACAAGTCTTCGGTTAAACAAAAACAGACTCGTAGAACAATAACAGAATGAAATACTGGGGTTAGTTGAAATACATTTTCGAATATAATCCATAGTCATACTACACTATGTCCATAGTATTTTTTTTTCTCCGATCATTTGTATTCATTCATTCTCTTTAAAATATTGTTAAACTTTTATCATTTGAATTATTTGTTTGCATTAGTCTTGTGAATGGTGCTCTACTACTCCAAAGAGTCTTATTAGGAAGTGATTTGTTAATCTACTTGGTAGATGACTAGACATATGTTGAACTAACTATAATATTTCTTCTTTTTTTATTTGAATAATTTATTTCAAAACAAAATTTAATGACAAGAAAGATCGACGTTTTGGGTCCATCATGGAACCATTCTTAAGATCAAGTAAATTGAAAAAACTAAAAACAAAAATACCAAGCAGTGACAGGAAGTAAGTAATTAATTAACATATCAATAGGGCCTACTGTTAATAATAATAATAACTTTATTGTTTCTCTTTTGTAACAGAGGCACAATCTAGAGATGTGCAACAATAATTCACAATATAAGATTTAAAGAAAAAAAAATATGTACATTTGTCTAGCAATAGACATTTCTTACTATCCTAATACACCGTCTAAAAATATACATTACTTTTTTTTTTTACAAAACTAATAACGAAAAGAAAAGTACGCATCCCAGGAAATGAACTACACACCACTGCTCTCGACACCATTCTCGCCATTGCCAGGAATTCATGACAATGCGTGACCAATGCCGAAACCCGACGGCGCGCACTCCATCTCCCGGAGAATGCATTACATTTCATCTGAATAAACTAAAAAGAAACTTATAGGAAAAGAAAAGGAAAAAAAAATAAATGATAATAATAGTTTTTCCCCCTTCCCTTCCCTCCCCTTCCCCTTTTCTTCCCTTTTCCTCTCTCTTTTTTCTTTTTCTGTTCTCCTCCCCTCTCCCTCCTCATCCTCTCTCTCTTTCCATTTTTTTTCTTCCCCACTTCCACAACTTCTTTTTTTTCTTCTTCTCATCATCTCTTCTTTCCCTTTTCCTTCTTTTTTTCTCTTCCTTCTTTTTTTCTCTCCCTCTTCATCCCCCTTCCCCTTCTCTCTTTTTTTCCATCTTTTCTTTTCTTTCCAACAAATTGTGTGGAGCCATAGTGGAACTAAGCAATTAGTCCTTCTTAGCAAATTAACTAGATAAACAGTTTGGCTTTGACTGAATCAGTTTGTTTGTTACGTGGTTTCAGTTCTTTGATCCAAAGCATTTCTTTAATTAAGCAATCAAACTTGGATTTTGCGCTTAGATAAAACCTTGAAACCATGATGGACCCGAAACGTCGATCTTTCTTGTCATTGGATTTTGTTTTGAAATTATATAGTAAGCGTCGCTTAATTAATAATTTATACCTTTGTAATATTTGATCCTCAACTTACTTTAGTTGCTATGATATGAACACTTTTTGTTTCCCAAAATTTCAGTTATACAAGTATACAGCCATTACCATTGCTGGAAAATGTAAAGATTCACGAACATTAATATGATCCTTTGTATCTTAGATTACTAACTAAATGAGAACAATATTTGATGATTTGATGTTAAAAATACAGAGCCCTTAAGGCAGTGGCGCCGAGAGTTATGGAAACCGGGGCTAGTGCCCCGGGGCCTGGAAACCGGGAGGGGAAAAAATAATAAAATAAAATAAATAAATAAGAATGATTAAACGTATACATTCATCCAGCTCATTCATATGTTTTTTCAACGGGAATGGTAAATAAATCTTACCGTTTATCGATAAAAGCTCGTAATTAATCGCTTTTTCATTAATATTTTCATGACTTCTAATACTCTAGAGTTTACGTTTACAATGTATCAAATAGTACATTCTTTATATTAATTAATAATTATCAAAGGCTTGGATCCTGGACATCGTCAATATACATAGGACCTACAAGTTAGAAAATACGAATAGACCTGATAGAGATTCGATTGCCAAATGAATACTGAATTAATATATTAAACAAGTGGCGGATAATTTTTTCAAAATTTACCAAAAATACAAAAATAAAAAAATAAAAAAATTCTACTCAAATTTAAGTCTAAGAGTGCCATTTCCGGCCGTCCAGAGGTCCCATAATCTTAAATGAGGCTGAGGTACACAGACTCTCCACCTGTGGAAGCCTCTGGGCCCCTCTATTTCAAATTGCTGGATCCGCCACTGTAAACTTTTATACCTACGTTATAAATCTTTTCAGCTATACGTATGAATAAAAGGAAGGATAGCTTTTACTTTTCATGTTTCTATACTCTAATCCGTTAAAAGGCCGTAGCTTAATTCAATTCAAAATTCAATTCAAAATCAATTTATTCCAAATCTTTTCAAAGCATAGATAAACAGTACAGATATAAAAATGGAAATGGAAAGGGCAACCACAAACAAACAGAGCTTTACACTAGTGGCGCCCGAAAAAAAAGTAATTAAGATACTATTTCAAATTGACAAAGTAAGTCAAGGTATACATTTTAATTAAAGCACTTTCATATCATAGATCAAGATAATAATAATAATAATAATAATAATAATAATAATAATAATAATAATAATAATAATAATAATAATAATAATAATAATAATAGCAAAGAAAAGAAAAATAAAATAAAAATAAAATAAAAATAAAAATAAAAATAAAAATAAAAATAAAAATAAAAATAAAAATAAAAATAAAAATAAAAATAAAAATAAATAATAAATAATAATAATAATAATGATAAAAATATAATTATTATGTCAGTCTTAGATAGCAATTTAAACACTGTAAAATTATATAAATAATTAAATTAAATAGCAGCAATAAAGCAACATATAAATTGCACTTAAACATCATTGACTTTTATTGACGAATTTCTTTACAAATAATACAATTTTTCCCGTCTTGGCAGTGGTACCGTTTCATCTTATAGCTTCCATGATAAATATTATTCATTTTGTTCTTAAATAGTGAAATATTAGCACATGCTCTAACATTGCTTGATATGTTGTTCCACACCTTAGGCCCTATATACGAGATTCCTTGTCGGCCAACATTTCTGCGTTTTAAGTCGATAACAAGGTTTTGCTTATATCGTGTATTATGATTATGGTACGAGTCAAGTGTACGGAACAACAAATCAAAAGATTCTGACAATAAACCATTATCATATAAAAACATTAAGTTGGCTACATTTTTTCGTATAAAGCAAATATGTTTAAAGTATTGGTTTTAACAAAAAGTTGAGTAAATGGGTGTAGATAATGTACATTACATATGATTCTAAGTGCTTTCTTCTGTAATACATAGATTTTATTTAAGTTTGTCATGCTACCAGAATCCCATATCGTGATCCCATACGTTATAATAGAAAGGACAAGAGACTTATAAATAGTGAGCAGTATGTGATATGGTAGCAAAGGAGATTCATTGCTCCAATAATTGCAGACACCTTACTAGCAATAACATTTACATGTTGAGAAAAATTAATTTTTTCATCAAGAGTGATACCAAGGAATTTAATTTTGTCTACTCTCTGAATAATGTCCTGGTCAATGACGAGTTCGACATGCGCTGTGATAATAATTGTATTTCTACCACTAAACACCATCAATTTAGTTTTATTGGTATTAACAGTAAGCTTGTTTGCTTTAAACCACATATTTAAGCGTTTTAACTCCTCATACATTATATCGAATGCTTTATTTATGTTACTATGTTTTAAGAAAACATTGGTATCATCTGCAAACGTTATTAATTGAGTTTTGGTACATACTGAAGGCATATCATTGACAAATAGTAAAAATAACAATGGACCCAGGATAGATCCCTGGGGAACTCCATACTTTTCCAACTTTCTATCAGACTGTATATTATCTAAAGCTACAGATTGTTCTCTTCCACTTAAAAAACTACAAAACCATTTAAGTACAAGACTTCTGATGCCACAATAAGGTAGTTTTTGTAGAAGAACTTTGTGATCTATCGAATCAAACGCCTTAGATAGGTCGAGAAAGTGTAATATTATATATGGCAGTTCGCCATGTAATGCTCAAGTTGTTGTGCCCGATTCCAATGTATGTTCCGGATGCAAAGACTGGATCTTCACTATGATTGTATTGATATGACAAGCGAGATGGTTTACTTTAACTATATATAGTATAATAACTGAACTGACTACATCTCTTCTGGTTATAATGCAAAGCGTTTATTCACTATTCTACTGCATGATATATACAATATATAGAAGTAAGATTGTGAGACGTAATGTTTTCTTCAAGGTATCAGAAGGAAGTCCTTTCTAGATAACTAATACTTTACTTTTCATACAAGCTTGGGGTGTGGTGGACTTTCTCTGATTGGTTGAAAGATATCACCTTATCCTAATCATTTGACTATTACATCATTTTGGGGAGTTTCTGTTGGTCAGATAATATAACAACTTTGGGGGTAGAACTTAACTTATATTTAGTAACGATCTGTCTCTCAATCGAGCTTATTTTATAAATCAAATGCAAGGAGTTGATCACTTGGGCTTTTTGTCATGAATTGGCTATTGTCCTGTCAAAGACTTCATATATAATAATTAGGGAGACGTTTAACAGTTGCCCACTGAATTAGTGAGGTAATGGGGTAGTGAGGTAAAAGTTCAGTCCAATAATTTTATTGATTTGGCCTATATTCGTAAGTTATCTTAATACTATATAACAAAAGACTCCAACAACAAGTAATTGGTTGTCAATTGCCGTTGTTATTTTCTCAATCGTCTGAATGAGGGCGTGATTTGTAGAGTGTCCTTCTCTAAAGCCGTATTGTGTTTCATTCAGGATTTTATACTTATTTTTTTAAAAACCGTTTGGTCATAGACAATTCGTTCATATATTTTTGACATACATGACAATATAGAAATAGGCCTGTAGTTACACATGTCATCCCTTGCTCCACTTTTGAAAATTGGTATAGTTTTTACAAGTTTAAGCTTCTCCGGGAAAATTCCAGTTGTGAGTGATAAGTTAATCATATAAGTTAGAGGTATAGCTAATATATCTGAATTCATTAAAAAAAATGTTGCATCAATATCGTCAAGACCAGGGTGATTTACCCCCGGCCCCCACCACCAGGGATCTGCCACTCAATCCTGTTGGGTCGTAGGCGCCCCCAGACACTCACTCAATAGGCTGCCCCGGCCTACGGCAGCTCTGCCTTTTGGATGAGTGTTAAATTACCGGTAACATTCAAATAGGCCTACAGTAATTATCATTGAATAGGCCTTGCACTTGATAAGCAATAAGCAATAAAGTTTTTCAACTACTTTGCAAGGTTGCGTTAACGGGTGGGGTTAAGGGTTGGAGTAGGGTAGTTCCGAATTTAAAATTTAAATAAAAATTATAAATTTCGACCTTAGTTTTTCACATTTGTTTTTAATTCGGTAGTAAAATACGACCATTGCAATGTTGACCCACAAAGCAATGGACATGTTATTCGTACAGTGTATTGACTTCGTTATTATTAAAATAATATATTTTTAATTAAAAGGCATGGAACTTGGTTACCAGACGACACCAGATATCAATGGAAAGTCTATGGTTAGTTGTTTAGTATACACTTTACTTACACTGTAAACTGGTCGTACAGTATTTGTATATAATTGATGCTTAGTCCTAGGAAAGATCTGCCAGAGGCTAACTTAATGATTATAGCAATCTAAAATTGAATAAGATTAGGCCTATACAGAATTTTGTGTGTGAAACCTAAAGAAACTTTAGAGATTACTATTTTGGCTGTTGACCGTTACTAGTTATTATAACTTTACTTAAACACAAAAAATTACATGCTGAGGCGGGTGTTTTCTCTTTGAAATCAGATCGATAAGAGACCGAAACCTGGCTCGCCTCGCGCGAGTCAAAATAACATTTTGAGTGTCCTCAATTTTCCATTCTTTGTTGTTTTGCACATGTTGGTGTTCAGTAGCTTCTATATACCGTATCGATTTCACAGTAATTCCATTTTATATGTTTGTTTTTTTTGTTTTTTTTTAAATATCAGTTTGGGTTCGGCAGCTTCCCGGCAACCATTGTGAATGGGCAGCGTTGTAGCTCTGCAAAAGCATTCCTGCATCCAATCAAGAGTAGAAAAAATTTAACAATTTCACTTAACACTCTAGTCACAAAGGTTTGTTGTCAGTGCTTATTTTATGAATTGCAATTCAGTTAGCGTTATTCGTAATTAATTGTTTATGTGCGATCAACGGTGGCGGAAGCGGGTTCGGGGGGTGGGGGTGGCCAGCGGGCCATTGGTCCCCACTTTTTCAACTGGGGGCCTCCCCCCCCCCACTTTTAATTTATAATATACTGTAGTTAATGTGTTATAGCGGATCTAGGGGGAGCCCAGTACGCACGGGCCCCCAACCTCCTATTTTTCTTTTCAAAATTATCAAAAAAAATATAGACAAAACGAATAAAATTGTATTCAACTTTTAATCTGAAAGTGCCATTTCCGGCCATCTAGAGGTGGTGCCATAACCATATTTTTTCTTACCGCAGCCACTACCGTTGTAGGGCTGAGGTGGGTGGACACTCCATTTGCGTCTATTTCAATTCCTGGACCCTTCACAGTTGGAGTATCATTTCCGGGCTATTATAGAAGGGTAAATTGTATCCATCGGGGAAAAGTAAAGGTTTCGTCGGGGAATACCCATATCAAGGATTAGCCCTCATGGTAATTAATTCATTGAGATCGTTTGTTCGGAAAGCAGTGGCGGATTCAAGGGTGGGGGCCTAATTGTTATAATTATATTCAAATTTTAATTCTGAGAGTGCTTTTTCCGGCCATCTAGAGGTGCCATAATCACAATTTTCTCGCCTCAGCCCCAACCATGGTGGGGCAGAAGTGGTATAGATCTTCCATCTGCGAAAGTACCCAGTGGCGGATTCAAAGGGGCCCCGGCACCCTTAAATTGTTGTTTTTTTTTTCTTCTTAAATGGAGGTACTGTTTTAAGAAAATTATATTCAAATGTTATGCCTGAAAATGCAATTTCCGGCCATCTAGAAGTGCCATAATCACAAATTTTGTTACCTCATCCCCAACCATGGTGAGGCTGAGGCGGTGACCTTCCATCTGCGAAAGTACCCAGTGGTGGATTCAAGGGGGCCCGGGCTACCTTAAGTTGTTTATTTTTTTTTAATGGAGATATAAAAAAAATTATATTCAAATGTTATGCCTGTAAGTGCAATTTCTGGCCACCTAGATCACAAATTTTCTTATCTCAACCCTAACCATGGTGAGGCTGAGGTGGTATAAATCCTACATCTGCGGAAAGTACCCAGTGGCAAATTCAAGGGGGGCCCGGGCCCATTTGAATTCCGGGAATGCGCCAGGGTGGTGATGGATGGTGACCCCGAAGAGTATTTGCGTCTTATTTTGCCTGTCTTTCCATCCATGTCAGTTCCGTCATAAAATTAATATACATGCAAATAAATAAATAAATTAAATAAAATTAATTATTTCAAAGTCATAATGCAGAAAAATATTATTATTATTATTATTATTATTATTATTATTATTATTATTATTATTATTATTATTATTATTATTATTTTTATTAATAATTCCTGGATCCGCCACTGGAAATTACAACAATTATTACAGTAGTTTAATGCCTATAAAATAACTAATAAAATTTACCAAACTTCGTCAAATATCAGTAGCTTCCAGGGGAAAAAGCCCCCTGGACCTCCACCAGGACCCCTTGGCGGCTCCATGCCCTTCCCCCAGATGCTCGCTTCGCTCGCATACTGGTTGTGAAGTGCCCCCCAACCCCACTTTCAAAAACGTTCCGCCGCCGTTGTGTGCGATGTAGGTCTATCGACATTTTGTTTTGTACTGTCCTGTCATTGGCATAATCTACTTTATGGTTTTCATTTAATGTTAATTTAGATTGAGATTGTGGATGGGAAGGCAATAGGTGTGCATGTGCAGTTTGATGGAAATGAGGACTTTATTCCAGTGAACAAAGAGATCATCTTATCGGCAGGTGCTATAGGATCTCCACATGTACGTGGAATGTGCTGGAAATGGTTTATACTTATTTATTTATTTATTTAAAACATCTTTAGGCAGGATACCATATACAGACGAGATCTTGCCGCTGTTTTACAATATGTTCCTGCAAACACACAGTACAATAACAACAACAAAATGTAACCAGCACAGTACAATAAAATAAACACTAGTAAAAACTTTGGTGGAAAACTATCCCCCGCCGGACACCAACCCGGTACTTCCGAGTCAAGGTTTCGGGCCAGAAATTACGGCTCAAGGTTAAGCTTAAATACAACTTAACTACGGTATGGTAGAAACTATCCCCCGCCGAACACCATCCTGGTATTTCTGAGTCAAGGTTTCGGGCCTGGTATCACAACTTTTATCTTAACTATAAACCTAACTAAACAATGGTAAAAACTATCCCCCGCCGGACACCATCCCGGTACCTCTGAGTCCAAGTTTCGAGGCCGGGATTAAATTTTAAAAATATAGACCAAGAAAATATAAAAGGAAATGAATTTTGATAATCAGAAAAGGTGTTTTCTCTCTCTCTCTCTCTCTCTCTCTCTCTCTTTCGGGGGAATTTCACCCACTTTTATTTCTATCTATTTTGTTACCTTAATATTATTGTTACCTTAATATAAAAATTAAAACTAAATTGCACTCAAAAAGGGTCAGTCCGCAATGGCTGACTGTAATTTTTTTGAACTCATCTTTTATTAATTTCTAAAAAATAAATTAATATATTCTTTTTCTTTAAGGTCCCAAAATGTAATTCATTGAATATGTTAAAATACATCTCATTCCAAAAATGTACTTACACATACACATGTATATACTGTATATATACACACACATACACACACACCAATACCATATAGGCCTACTTATACATATACATTTTTTTATTTCAACAATTACTAATTGTTTTTCTTTTATGAACAAAACAGGAAGGTAACTGCTGATGTAATATCATTGATAATGTTAAATAATAATAAAAACAAAAGTCAAGAACTTTCTTTTTAGTCATTTTCAAACGTTTTCAAAACGTACATCATTGTATATATACACACACAAACAAAAACACACAAACTTAAACATATATGCACACACCCACACATACACACACATATTAAATTCACAAACACAGTACATACATGCATACAAGTTTACGTATGTATTAATTATCTATATACATCAAATCAAACCAAAAAGCTACCGCGTTATGTTGACAATATCACTGGTAATTGTAATGATATTGAAATTTTACCATCCGATCAATAATAATAATAATAATAATAATAATCTTTATAATAAAGGGCATATAATTATTGAACAGTCAAAAGAGCTTATTAAATAAGCCCATTGCGTTCATATCATTTACAATATATTTAACGCTACCCAAGGGTTCGTACATACTGGCTTGTTCAGCTCAGTTAAAATTTTAATTTTGTAAATAGCGTAGACTGCAATGGAATATATTTGGTTCTTAATTTTACTGTCACAACCCAGGAGGAGTTATTTAAAAGAACTACATTTTTCACTTTTCGCTTCCAAACATCATTCCAACTTATATCTTCATTGTTAAATACCTTTTTCCATTTACACTGACTTTGTGGAGGAATAAAACTGTTGTTAACAAAACTTAAATACAGTAAATAGCTTTTTTTTCCTTTGAACGTTGTTGTTAATTACCATATTCTCATCTGAATTCACATGTATATCATGTTTCGTATTTTGCTTAATTAATTTCACCCATTCATTTGGAATAGCCTCAATTAGTGAAATATATTCACTCATACAATTTCTTTTAATACATATTTTTTTAAGAATTTCGTTAGGTTTCATTAGACGATTAAAAATAATTATATCACTAATCTTATTGAAACCTGATGTACTCCAGTTCCTATAGAACAGGGATTTGTTCTTATATGTAATTGCTTTATTACCCCATAAGCTTTGTTTAATTACTTTTTCATACGCGTTAACGACATAAACTTTATTGGTATTATTTAATTTTACACACATTTTATAACATTAAAATAAAAAGAAGGTATAGTATCAAGGCCCGTGTTACTTGTCAGATTAATATTTGACATACTCAGAATCACTCTTTCGTTTCCAAATTTGTTTAAATAGTATAATGGTAATAGCTTCCATCTTACGTGTTTCCTACACAGTATTTTCCTTGCCCATGTAATCTTGAGCGCTTTAACGTGTAAAGAAAAATCTGGCATAGTTATGCCTCCTTCAATCAGTTTACCGATTAACGTTTTTATTTTTATTTTTCCGTTTTTCCATTCCATAAAAAATCGTATGCTAGTTTATTTACTTTGAAAATTACGTCATCTGAAACACCAATTATACAAGCATTATACGTAAGCTTAGACAAAGCCAGACTCTTTAATATAGTAACCTTGCTAAAAAACGTTAGGTTTCTTCCTTTCCCGGTATTGAGCAACCTTTCTAAGCTTATTATTAGACCATTGTCAATACTCTTTTCATTTTCAGCAAACAGTACGGTACAGTGTCATCTTCAAGTTGTGCAATACGCACTTCCTCATATTTTCCTTGACTAGGTATTGATATTCCTTTAAAGTGTGCACTATTTCTTATATCACACGCCATGATTTCCACGACCAGAATAAATAACAACGCCGACAATGGGCAACCCTGCCTAATGCCAACATTTTTCAGATACCCATCCATTATTAACAAATACACACTTTGTCTTATTATAAATTGTATTAATCCATTTATGAAAAGAGTCTCCAAAATTAAATTTTTCTAATACCTTAATTGCAAATTCCCTACTCACAGAGTCGAAGGCTTTTCTAAAATCAAGGGATAGAATAGCACTTTCCATTTACCTTTCAGTCGTATAATGAAGAACATCATTAATTAGCCAAACGTTTTCCCCAGCAAAGCGCCTTTTGTTGTATCCTTTTTGGTCATTGTTAATAACACTTTCAATTACTTTATGAAGTCTTGAACATAAAATTTGCGTTAAAATCTTGTAATCCGTGTTTAATAATGTGATAGGACGCCAATTTTCTAATAATTGTTTATCCCCCTTTTTGTATAATAAATTTATTACACCCCGTTTCTGTGTATGGCCCATTTCATTTTTAAAATAACACTCGTTAATTGCATTACAAACAATTTGTTTAATTTCTTTTCAAAAATAAATATAAAACTCAACGGTCAGACCGTCCCATCCTGGAGCTTTATATAACTTCATTTGTCGTATGGCTTCATCACATTCTTCTATAGTCACGATGCCTTCACATACACCCTTTCCTTCCTCAGATAAACTGTTTACTTTTAATTTATCTAAGTAGGTGTTGATTTCCTTAAGGGATATCCCCTTATTTGTATAAAGATGTTTATAGAATTTGACTTCCTCTCGTAGAATTTCATTTGTGTCTGTTAACACAGCACCATCTGCGTTTTTTTTTTATACTTTTGATATGTTTTTTCGTTCCGTTATTTTTTTTAAACTAAGAAAGTATTTAGTGCTACGTTCGCCTTCTTCCATCCATTTTATTCTTTAACGTATGTATGCACCTTTTGTTTCATTCTCATCAATATTTTCCAGTATATTTTTTCTTCAATTTCTTCCTCAATACTTTCATTGGAATTACTAAAATTGTTTACAAGTGATCATTTAGCTGTTTTATTTGGTTTTGTAGTTTCACTTTTTCTTTGTTTTTTTCTTTATTTTTTTTTTTTTTTTGCCAAAAAAATATAAAAACGTCTTTAACTCTAACTTTTATTAATTCGCAAAGTAAGTCTGGGCCGAGAGTTTTTTTTTTTTTTTATTGTTTTGAGTTTTAATAATATTTTTTCTAATAGCACTTTGATAATAAGTGTTGACTAATAAGCTACTATTATATTTCCAATATCCTGAACCCCTTTTAGAATTATCAAACCCAATTTTAATTGAGATTGTCTGATGATCAATCAGGATGGCCAGCCTTATACCACATGATATAACTTCATTATAGCCATGAATGTTTTCTGAAATAAACCAGTAGTCAAGTCTTTTTATCTTTCTTTTTATCTCTCCAGGCATCTTTTAGCGTGAGTTTTTTCATAAAATTTTTAAGTGTGAAGACAGATGCGTCTTTTCTGTCTGAACTATTCTTTTGATCCCATTTCCTATCGAGGATACAACTTAAATTACCACCGATGATAATTATATTCTTAGTGAAGTCCACCATATTTGAAATAGTCTTATTTAGCTCTCTGAAATATGTGCTTCTCACTTTACAATTGTTAGGAGCAAGAACATATATTTTACCATTGATTTTAAATTTTAGTATAATGTATCTTCCATTTTTGTTAATACACTCATTCTTTTTTAAATCTTTTTTAAATAAAATTGATACACCCGCACTATTTGAATATCCAGTGCTATACGTACAAATACCATTCCATAATAAATTAAATTTATTGAATAATTCAGGTGTAAGATGTGTCTCTTGTAGATATATGACATCAGCTTTCTGATCTTTACACCACTTCAGTATCTGTCTTTGTTTATTTATATTACGTACACCTCTTACGTTTAAGGAAATGAAATGAATGTTGGCGTTAGTCATACAATCGGGTATGATTTTTTAAATTTTTTTTATATACAGATTGCATTAATCGTTGACGTACGTATATATCGTAAGGCCAACTTTACTGACACATAAATACATGCATCTATATATGATATATATATCCATGATACCGAAAATGACAATGATAGCAATAATTGCATTATATTAAAAATGATGACAAAGACGTCATCTTTGGGGAAACTACTAGCGAAATTGCGCGTTGTATTGTATTGGTAATGATAATAATAACGACTCAGCTTGGTCTTTGGATTCATACTTGTTTTTTTCTTTCTCTTTCACTTGCTTATTAGACCAAGATGATGATTTCATGAAGCTTGTTATCTTCCCTTGTTTCTGTTGGTTTTCATTTATTGGTTCACTTTGCTTTTGATCGTCGATGTCGATTCATCTTCACTAGTGACCACGCTCTTTTCCTCTACTACACGTTCCCACATCTCTTGAATGAGCTTTTCGCTCCAGTCATCTTGCAACAGTTTTTCTGCGCTGTATTGGTGCCGTCGATGACCTTCTAATCCACAGGCATGGCAAACGAGGTGGTTTGTACATGTTTTATCATTATGTCCGTACTTTAAACATTTCGAGCACTTCACCCTCTCATCTACTTGGGTATAATCACTCTACAGACTTAAAATTTAAAGACAGCAACACACCCTACAATATCAAATGGTCTATTATCGACAGGGCATCGGCTTACTCCCCAAAAACAAAATGCTGCAACCTATGCATAACCAAAAACTTCACATAATATATTCAGACAAAGAGTCAATACTAAACAAAGGAACCGAGCTATTGTCTAAATGCAGGCACAACAACAAATACTTACTTAAAAACAATTAACCCATTTGCATTTTCATCTGGCCTAGCATTTATATACTCACACAATCCTTGTATTCTCTCACTCCTGAAGATTGCATTAGCATGAAACAGTCTGTAGAGTGATAATA